TGAAGACGAAAGACAACGTTGGTTTCTCACCCTGCTCGCTTCATCAAAAAGAGTCTAGTGACAGATAATCATCATAATCCATCGACATTATCAGCAGAACATCACCTTATACATCACCTTTCTTAGGTTAGAACTAGCTTTAGCAATGAACGGTACTGCAATAGCGGTTTTTATTTGCTATTAAGAAGGTAGCTTGAAAACCTAGTGAGAATTGGAGTGGTGAACAAAGAGAAGGCCTCGAGCGGGAATCGAACACCTGCGTTTTATCCATACCGGGGACGCGTGCTTCTACCACTACACCAGCGAGATACAATTGCGCCACCACTCATTTTCCAACATCTCTATGTTAGTTATCAGCCACCAACCTTTAAAAGGTTTAGTCGGGCATGTGATATGCTTTATAACCCAGTTGAGCTGACAGCCTTGTTTGCTGTAATACTCCGATATTCTAGTATTGTTACTGCTCTTGGGTATATATGTAATATCATATCACTGCGAAAAAAAGCTGCAAAAGTGCAATAAGGTGAAGCAATGAATAGGACTGAGCAGACTACCAAACTATCTTCAATAGTAATAACCGAGCAATGCAGCAAGCAATTACTATGATTCACTTTCATTGCCTTTCATTGTCATCTGATGAACTCGTCTGTAAGAACAATACGTTGAAATCGTTACCTTATCTCCAGGGTATCAACTCTGTTTTTTGACAAAAGCATTTTACTACGTAGCGGCACTTCTTTTTCATTTAATTTGTGGGCTCTAACCGGCGATAGTCTAAATGCTGCTTGTTAGTTTATACAAATAATTCCCTATAGGACTTTGTTGATAAGTCACAAGTTTTTCATGTTTCAATTTTGGAATTAGGTAGTCTGGAGGTGAAAAAATCTTGGAGTAGTCATCATTAACGGTATGGTTAACGATCAATTTTCTCGAGAAAGGTTTATAGAAGCTGTGAAAAAGTAGTTGATGAATGGAAAGAGGTTCAGTAGGTGTGCAAGTGTGTTGAACAAGATGGCCGAACTTTTAACACTCTTACTTGTGGAACGCATATCCAAGCAAGTCGTCATTGGAGCTCTGTAACCCCCCGCTACCTTAGAATTCTTCATACACTTCACGATTTTGACAATACTCTAATGAGATTCAAAAAGTTGTAGCAGATATTCCATCTATAGATCACCGCATACTATAACTTTGATGTATGTTGAGTCGTAATACATGTCCAATAATGTCAGGTGAAATGCAAAGCTTCGAATCTCGAGCGGGGTTGAACCTGCGTCCTGCCTCTTGTTCCTCTATTACTTTTTCTTTTGCGATACAAAGTATCGATTCTTTTGATAACCAATCGTAAACGATTTGCCCTGCTAAACACGGAACCGCTTTGGAACCAGTTAGCTAACAGTTATTGAATATATGTAGTCGACAAGAAATTCTCATTGATTAAGTCCTTCTTCGTTAGCTCGCACCATGGAAAGAATGAGAACCAGGTTCGACTTATGCCTGGAGCATCACTTTATGAGATATATAGCAATAACGCTATTTATTGCTCAAAAAAAGCGGTAAAATTAAAAATTCTTGTTTTTTTAGTCTTCGTGAGTGTGAAAGCTTCAACTCGATCCAGTGTATGCCGCCGATTGCGCGACAAATCCACCTTTGCTTACTACACTGCAAAAAATAGTCAGTGATCTGTCTCAATGAAACGAGATGTTCCACACCATGGTGACGAAAACTCTGCTTTTCGACCAGTAGTTTGAAACCAGTTTAGTGACTATGTTCACACTGAATTATCTTTGAACTGGTGAACAAGTTAGTGAACGATCAACGCTGAAAGTCTCTGCAATTCATCAAATAGTATTACGATGTTTGATTCCGATTACCTTCTTTAGATGGTTTGTCGTCGACTGTTGATGTACTCCTCAAATCTTTCTCGTCATTAGCATTCATATCGCAGGACTTGTCGATTTAACGTATACGTGGAAACGCTCACTTGACGTATAGGTCATGCTTCCAGCTTTATCCGCAGAGGCTTGCGCAATCATGCAGCTATAAAAAGAAAGCAACACTTTTTTTGCTGAGAGCAGCATTTCAACCCAACTAAAATCGTTGTAAAAGTGTCTGTTAAAATGGTTTAATACACGAAAATAGCTGAAAAAATAAGCTATGTCGAAATATCTCACATAGCAATTTATTAACCCCCAAAGGGGGACGTGTACCAGCTGAGGTACGCGATTATTGGAACAAACGTTTCCCTCTCGGGTATTTTGTAATCTTCCGAAATTTCAGATCGCTCCAATTTCAAAGAAGGGCGTTTGATTTTTTTATAAAATACTTCTTACTACGTTGTAGGAACGAAAATGAAATTATGTTTCACACTCAATTCAATTCATTTGCTCGGCTGAGGCTTCAACATGGCGCGTCACCGAAGTTTTAATAGTCTTTCGATAGCCCAGTTCTCAAGGATTTTGAAGAAGTAATTAATTTTTTGAAAGGCTATTAAAGAGCGCTATACGAGCGAAAAAAAGATCGCATTTCACGCTCAAAATGTTACCACTCTTTTGCACGTTATAGCTGGTTCAATGGTAATTACAGGTATAGTTATCGCGTCAGAGTTATCTTTTTCGTCGCGCAACGAATGGAATAATACAAATAAAAATTTTATAAAGGTTTTCTTTACCCAAAGAACGACTACTTGTTCTAAAATCTTCAATTTTCAGTGTTAACAAAAAAGCCTCTAAAAAAAAAACAAATTTTCAATATCTATTGTGCATTTGTATAGCCTGTCTTGCAAGAACGTAGCTCGAAAGCACATTTTCTATAAATAAACATCTCTGGTAGAGTCTGTGTGATGATAATTGTAGTATGTGGCCGGAAAAAGTGTAGGAAAAGCCTGCGTTTATCATTGCAGAGAATATTCTTTTCCCTATTCCCACCCAAATCCGAAAAAAACGTTATTTCAACCCTTCTTAACTTTTTTGCAGTGATTCCATAGCTTGGATCTCGAAAATCTGAGAGGTGCACTTGTTTTTTTTGAAGTCCTCTATATCAGCTTTAACAGTGAAAAGAAAATTGATTTCATACTCACGCATTTTTCGGTGTGCACAGTTTCTTCTCAAAAAAATCAGTAATTTTTCGATAGCACAAGTTTCGAAGAATTTGATGAGGTTTTCGGTTTTTTCTAAAAACTTTTCCTTGCGCTGTAACAGTGCATGAGAGTTACAGTGCACAGTTCAAACATGAGAGGTACCTGTTCAAATGTGATGTGAGTTTAAAGATTAATAGGAGTTGATCATGTGAAAAAATCTATATAAAAAGTGATATTCAGATATTTTTTCGAAAAAAAAATTTTGAGGTAAACTTATGTGGACTATGCGCACCATTAAAATACTAGCTTTATGTGGCAATTCTTAGCTCAGAATAAATTTCATCGATGAAGACAAAAATCACTCATTCTGCACATACCAGCGAGAAGCAAGTTTTTCTAAGAATATCAATGGCGGAAGGTTAGGCTTCTGTCTGTGAAATCTCATTCAAGAAAGATTTCTTTCACATCTGTGGACTGCCGGTTATCATTTGTTCAAGTGCATGGATGCCGTCTATTACGAGAAATGGGCCTTAAACTAGATCAAAAAGAAGCTGTTTTCTTTTCGTTTTTTTCTCATCACATCTAGCATTTTTCTCTACATACGACACATATATCTGAACCAAAAGCATATGAACGAATAGAAAGTCGCGTTCTATCCAAATAATACAAGAATTCTAGAAATTTTTACGAAACGGAGAAAATGACCTTGATCAAACCTACGAAAATCGCGCAATTTGCTCCGCGCGCGTCGACTTCTATAGCTTTCCCTTAGGGGTTAAAAAAAATTATTTCATTGATTTCATAACGGTGAAATCCGACGACGCTAATTTCCCCACTAAACGTTCAGCTCAAGCTGAAAAAATCTAGTCCGTTCCCAAGAGGAAGTGGCTGGAGCCAAAGCCACAGCAGAATATTATGATCTTTTCTCTAAAGTTGACGTCGAAGAGGAAAGTGAATGTACTATAGCATTTTTAAGCATATATTGTTGTGGTTCCAGCTACCATATGATGCACACGCGTCATTTCCATCGCGCTCTTTGGGCTCACAAAGCCTTCGATTCCTTTTGAGCTAGCAAATTATACCAGACTTGATTAGGACAGAAGTACTATCGTCATACATCACTGAGTCTTCGCAAGTTATTGTGGAGGCCACATACACAATGAATTATCTCAATGAATCATGACGAGCACGTTTACACGGGCATTGCTCAAAGATCGATGAACTCCAAACACTTGATTCTTTATTTATAGCAGTTTTGCATTTCAGGGATAGCAACGACTCTGAAAATGTGATAACATGCTTTAGGTGATTTTTGAGGTCTGGTATGGCACTTATACAGTACTAGACAGCTGCTTCGAATTTCTAGCCTCATCAGTAATATATTTGCCTTTCATTCAGCAGATCACCCTATTAACAGAGGAATCGCCGCCAAATTATCTAAATTTCTATATGTCTAGTGAGAAAGTCTCACGACATTGCAGTGGCCACATTGAACGCTTTTTGGCTCATAGAATGAAGTCTATATAGACCTCGCTCAAAACGATAGTAATTTGATAATTTGTTAACATGTTTTAACTCTTTTTCCTTGAGGTCTGATATAGCACTCGTACAGTAATAGGCGGTGACTGAGGAGCCTGGAAAGACGAAAGAGCTGTCTAGCCACTGCAATGTCGGGAGATTTTGCCTCTCGACATGCGGTGGTTTGATAAATCGGCATCAGTTTCTTTATAAGTAGGAGGTACATCCCCTTGCAATGGAGCGGATAAACCAAAAGACACCGTCTTGCTAATGAGCCTGGAAAGGCGAAAGAGCTATCTAGCGCTTTATAAGTGCCATGTCAGATCTCAAGAAAAAAGGCAAAACATATCGTCACATTATCCGATAATAAACAATCCAAAGTAAAGATAAAACAACGATCTTTTTCATGCTATAACATAGGATTTGAATAAATCATTACAAGCTTTTTTTGCGAATTATTCCACTATGTATCTGGAAATCTCAACAAAATTTCCTAGATTGTAACACTGCTCACAAATAGTTTTCTACTAATTTAGCAATACATGAATATTGGTAAGATGTAAATTTTATGTGGTTAAGAAATGAAAGTGACATTTAGTCGCGACTTTACCTTCAAGTCACATTTTGTTGAAACACTGAGAGGATCCGAATCGTCTGTAAAATTTGAATTCCTTTACTCCACCGAATTAGATAAGTTCATTCACTAGGATTG